GCAAGTTAAATCTGGTTCCCGTCAATAATTGAAAATGCCATAATTCTGTCAAAAATCAATGAAGTGAAACGAAATGCAAAATTCATCTGTAACTCATCAAGGTAAAGTCGCATACCAAAAATCAGCTCAATATCTGCAAGCGTTTAGAAAAAAAAATTGCAGAAAACCCTGAAAAATTGAAAAAAGATCGTCATTCCGTCAAAAATCATTGAAGCGGAAAGAAATGCAAACTTGATCTTTAACTCATCAAGATACACTCACATACCAAAAATTTGACAGACAGACAGAGGGACAGACAGACGGACAGACTCAGAGGAAACCTATAGTCCTCTCCGGTTTCACCGGTAGGGGTGTGGCAACGCACTTTGACAGAATTACGTACTTTGAAATTTTTTTTCAAATTGCGTTAAAATTGGGGCAAAATCAACGCACTTTGAAAATTTTTTCGAAGTGCGTTAAATTTGGGGCAAAATCAACACACTGAAAAAAATTTTCAAAGTGCGTTAAGAGTGTACAACAACATTTTTTTTACCATGAAGACAGTTAACGCACTTTGAAAAAAAATAGTTATAAAACAAAAATTCTGCACTTATATTTTAGTTATATTTCTTTCGAAAAACTGATGATCTACCCTCATCGGGAACAAGGAGAAGACAGGTGGAAGGTCCGTCAGCCCAACTCTTTATCTTTCCTATCCAAATATTTGTATTTACATAACTGGTATGACATTGATATACTTTCTCTGAATAAATTTGAGTTAACTCAAAATAGATGAAAAAGTGAGATAAGCTTTCCTGAAAAAAAATTAACGCACCCTATTATATTAAAGAGAGGCTCAGGGGCCATATCGCTAATCTGAGCAACAATAGCCAACTGACTATACTTTGGCCAAAGTAGCTTTACAAAATCAAATACAATACAAAAAAGTATATAAAATGTATAAATAATTTTTCATCCATCTTAATACTAATCAAATAACTGAAAAAAGTCATCATATTGTGCGGGGATAAACATTTTTTCATACTTATCAAATAACTATAAAAAGACCATCATATTGTGCCGGAAAATTATTTTCAATGAGCATACGAACTTAGAAATTATTACAGACTGGTTAAGAAAAAAAGGAACGAAATTTTGCTTTTAAATTAAACAATCATTCCTCCATTATTTCTAAAAGACCCATTTCCCTTTTATAACATTTACGAGAACCAACCCCTAAAAATCTTAAAAACGTCTTTATCCTGCAACTACCCCTTGTATTGACCTAATAAAGGTAACCTAATAAACCAAAGCTTTATTCAGTCAATGCCCTAATAAAGCCTCGTGCACGTATTCCAACGTTCTAAAAGCATTGTGACGTCATGAATATTGCAATGTTTACGCCATGGCGTCTTAGTTTCAACTGCAGAGATGTACCTAAATCGGTTGAAAACAGCTCGTTTTGGAGGTCCTGTAAAAATGTGTTGCAGGATAAACAAAATACATTGAGACTGTCTTGAAATATAAGCGATATTTGGGCTCGGGTCGACAATAATAATCGGGATTGTTTATAAAATACTACCTTTTGTTGTCCTGAAAAATACTATTCTTTCTATGACTCGCCTATAAGTCGGACACAGAGTTTTTGACCAAAATTTAACTCCCAAAAAAACGACTTATAGGCGAGTATATACGGTATATAAGATGTATCATCTTTTTTTTTGTTTCAAAATATGATAAATACATGTCATTGTTTATATTTTTCTCTCCAAAGATAATTAATTATTGACATAAAAATGATTTTATTCTTTTCTCTGGTGTGTTTTAGAAAAAAGGAGTTAAAATATATTTCGTGTTTTGTACTACCTTTAAAGAAAATAGTATCCCTATTACAAGAACATTGTATCATTTATAAATAATTTTAAAGTTCCACATTTATTTCTCTAATTTTTTGCGGACTTAATAAATTGCCGGCTGGACTATTGCATAGAAAATTTTGAGTCGATCCCTGGGTTATTAACTGAAGGCATATTTTTAGCACATCCCGAGAATTGTGCCCCCCCCCCCCCCTTCATCAAAAGAAATAAATAAATATTATAGTAAACTCTAGTGTACCATAACTATAGTATCAAAGTTTTTACTCTAGTTAATCAAAGTTTTCACTATAGTAAATGAAAGTATTTTTATTAAGGATTATATGTTCTCCAATTCATACATGCACATTTTTATTTCAAATGGAACTATTTCTTGTATATTTACGTATTATTTTCAAATTTTTCATCACAGTTATCAAATTGGAGATTTTTAGCTTTGAAATCTCAAAAATTTCTAGAGTACAGTTTCATAGAAAATTAAAGTATTTGCTATATCTAGTTAACTCTAGTGAACTAAAGTTAACTATAATAATTTAATTTTTGTAAGGTGCCTTGCTTTCAAAGTCTTATTACATATAGTAAGGACGCAATGGTTCATGGAATATTTAACTGTCTTATCTTTCCATTATAACTTTAAAATGTTTATTTTCAAAGTTATACATTCTGGTGCAATAGTTGCGGCTTAAAGGTTTTGAAAGACAAACTTAGAAGTAAATAAATAGTATATTCGGAAATGTCATGTTACAGGTGAAAGTTTCGGCTGAGGTTAAAATTTTTGAAAGTAGGTCTTTCATCATTATCAAGAGGACAAAAACCATAATGCATTCTTTGAGGTCTTTTACAGGTACATGTGAAACACACGAAAATAAATTAAACATAAAATAATAAAATATCATATAATGAGAAAATAACGAATGAATGAAAACCAAAAATATATATATATATTTTAAGGTCGAATTTCATGGACGAATTAGGGAGGTAAAAATCATGTGAAATTTAAAAGCATTAACTTCCCTTGATCAAAAATGATTACCAATGTTAAAACTTTTAAAAGTAGCATATTTGGAAAGGTCTTTTCATAGGTAATGTACTTATATGTATTTTGAAGTCTTATCTTCTCTCATGCAAAAGGTATTTCCAAATTTTATTATTAATTTTAAAAAAAGAAAACCAGTCGTCAAGGTCAAAATTCACAGTATATTTCAAAAGGTCTTGACACAAGTAATGTACATGTAAATATGAAAGCCATGTCTTAGTTTTGAACAATGTTAAATATTTTGTAACAAATGGGCAGACAGAAAACGAGATTCATAGCATAAAGAAAGAACGTCTGTGAATATATGCATTATCAAAATTTGTTGAGAAAAGAAAGAGGCATGTAATGCATTTGAACTACATGTACCTTATAGTGCTTCTTCATTCACTGCTATCAGATGTTGCTAAGTTGATAATAGGAAATTATTTTATAAATGCATCTTTTTTAATCACACAAAATTTCGTTCCTTACTATATGTTCAATTTTACTTTAAACAATTTAAGTGATTAAATTGAAATTAAAGAGACATACATGTAGACACAGATTTGAAGTTAATATTTTCTCAAATTTTCTGTATAATATGACTTATACATGTATGTTGCCATAGCATTTCACACGGAAATATAATAAAAAATCAAATTTTATCTGGAAATTATTGGAACAACGAATTTTGGAACGCGTTTGATTGACACATTCTTGCACTTTCATAAAGTATTAATTGATTTTAAGTTGTTTTACGTCCCATTCGAGAATTTTTCACTCATATAGAGACGTCACCATATTCGGGTGAAGGGCTTCAAATTTAGACCTTTACTTGGTACTCTGGGCCATTGAGCAGTGAGGGATCTTTATCGTGTCCACGCTTGCCGTGACACGGGGTCTCGGTTTTTGAGGTCTCATCCGAAGGACCCGCAACTTCCACACCCTGTGGAACGTAAACTGTTTTGTAAACAGGACACGAGCTCTGTTACTGTAAATATTTATGTTTCACCGGGTGTGTTCAATTTGTTAAACTCTGCACACATCACTGAGCACGGCCTGACAATACTGGTGAGTTGGTTTTGCTTTCTCACATTTCTACTCTGAATTTTATGTATTATATTGTTAATTTTTTTTTATTAATACACAAGATTTCTACTTTTCTTATGTATTAAGGATAAAATTTACTTTATGAAAGTATTAAGTGATCCTCGGACAATGCCAATGGTTAGAGTAATGCACACACACACTTTTAAAAATATCAGTTGATTATATACTAGTTATGAAATGAATTTATTTTTCTTTTCCCCTCTGTACACTGAGGACAGGTATTCCACCCCTAAGAGGACCTTATTCTCTATCTTAAATACCCATCACAAATAAAATACGCTGATATTAATTAAAAACAATTTGAATAGAAGAGGACTTACCAAGAGATTTTTTTTCAAAATATAATTACCTAACCAGTAATTAGTCAAAGTGAAAAACATGGTCTATGAGGAAAAACGAATATTTAAAAATTAAAAGCCAAATACAGAATACCAATAAATTCGAAGGTATAAATAGGCTATTTATGATTAGGAATAGAATAAGGACTGAAACGACTTTTTATTACAATGGTTTTTTATTAATTATGAACTTACTGGTAAGTCAAGGTCATTTGAGGGTCATTAATTTGGACACATTCCGGTCTAGCAAATAGGACTTGGATCTAAATATACTGAATATACATAACCTGTACATATCTGCTATGTATTCAATTTTGTTTGTTGAATCTGAGACAATTAGGGTTGGAATACCTTAAGATTCTTTACTAAGACACTTATCGAATGGCATGATTACTAATAATAACTAAACTATAATATATAAACTAATAATAAAAAAAATGTACTCTTTTGTTTAATTTAAATTTATTTTTTATTCTCAGCTGCAATTATCAAAACAATATTGTATCGTTCTTACATAAAGGTGTTCCATTTTTAGAATACAAAAAATTATGAATACGTTTATGTCTGTTATCATGTGAATGTTGTTGAATTTAAACAACAGATAACAGTTCCCAAATTTAGTGTTTATCACAAGGAAAGATGGAAATAATTTGGAAAAAGTTTAGAAAATTCTTTATGACATGTTTTTAAAACCGAAGTCCATCTGTCCATCCTCCTGGTTTGGATGCTGGAAGTCTCTGGCCTTGTTTCCATGAGGGGAGTATCTCCTCTTCGTCCTCATATTCACTATCCTCATCATCTTCCCTGCGTTTACCACCAAAGAATTTTAAGCAACAGCATCCAAGAAGCCCAACGCCAGTGATAGCTGTTACACCGATTAGTCCTATTTCGATATACTGGAACCAACCAGGAACTACAAACTTTGTTACAGACAAACTGCTGGTCGTGGGAGAAGCAGTTTTCGATGACACTGCAGTGGATTTTGACACCGATAAATCAGGAGATAGCGATGTGTAATCTAAAAGTATTAAGAACACCTGTTGTTTAGTATATTTACAGTGACTCTAATATGCTAAATGTATGTCAAAAGGACGCCATATACATGTATAACTAGATATCATTAAGATGGTGGCCATCTCAAAGGGCCCCGCTTTCAGCAACGAACATGAAAATATAAGGTAGTTGAAAAAGGGTTTATTTTGAAGAGGAACATATGTGTACTATTAAGGGATATGTTGTTTGAGTCTAAAGGGCTTCTATTGTTATAATAAAATATGGCACGAAAATCACGAGTGCTCCATACCCTCTATAAAAAAAAACGGCACAAAAATCACGTATGTCGCATATCCTCTATGAAAATTGTTAAGATATCCTCTATCAAAATATGGAAGGAAAATCACAAATGTTCCGTACCCTAAGTCAATTGGTAAAGTTTGAGGCTGACTGGACTTAAGGGAAAGAAATTATGCGTCGAACAAAGATTTTAAACAGAGAGGCTATTTTTTACCTTGACCCTTGACCTAGAAACTTTGTTCAAGGTCACTGCACATTCTTTGACCAGTGGCACTCTGTGAGTGAAGTATGAGCCACATTGGACCAAGAGGAGAGAAGATATGCTCCGGACAAGGATTTTTCATATAATTCTGCTATGACCTTAACCTTAGACCTAGAAACATGGTTCAAGGTCACTGCACAGCCTTTACCCAAAGACACTCTGTGGGTGAAGTATGAGCCAGACTGGGCCAAGGAGAGAGAAGATATGTTCCGGACAAGAGATCTCGGACGGACAGATGGACGGACGGACTGATAACTATAGGGCGCCCGCAGAAAGCGTTATTTCTAGTCCAAATATTGTTTACTGTGGTAAATTAAAACAACAAAATGAATGGAAGGGTGCCTCATAGATGTTGTAGATGCTGGTTTGTTAAAGGGGAAAAACAAGCCAAGATCTCGAAAAGTAATTTTGATGCTTGCTGAGAACAAGTTTTCTTGTTCATGAAATAAATCGGAATTAATCGCCACAGTGCAAAATATCATTTGACAAAAAAGCAGAAATATGTCATTTCATAGCAAACCTGAAATAGGCCTGACTGTAGTGGTGCGAATTGTACCCGAGAGAGAAACATTCTTTTTGTCTTTGGTTTAAGTATAATTACCTATTTTTTGCTTTTAAGAACTGTTCGAGAACATTGCAATAACATTCCTTTTTTTTATTTTTCAAGCAAAGTTTAACTGTATCTTTACAGCATTATTTCTTGCTTACGTAGACATTTTCCTAGTGTTGCTGACATATCGTCGATATACAAACCTGGAATAGGCATTGCTGGTGTAGTTATGGAAATATGGTTTGAACTTGCCAGACGCGTGGTATGAGTAACCCTCACAGTAGTGGTGGTGGGAGTATTTTTTTTTATGGTGGTCGTGGTGCTGGGTTTGGTGGACGAGGCAGAAGCTGTAGAGGGTTTTGGTGTAATGATTATTTTTTTAGCTGTAGAAATTTTGGTGGTAGAGGTAGTGGTTTTTGTGATAGGAGTTGTGGTTTTAGAAATGGTGGATGTGATGGTAGGGGTTGTGTTGAAAGTGGGTTTAATTGTCGTGGAAGAAGAGTCGGTTGTTGAAGATGAGGTTGTTGTGGTTAGCGTTGTAGTTTTAGGAGATGTTGTAGTTGTAGGAGTTGTTGTAGTTGTAGGAGTTGTAGTTGTAGGAGTTGTGGTAGTGGTAGGTGTGGTGGAGGTTGTAGTGGTAGGAGTTGTGGTAGTTATAGTGGTAGTAGTTGTAGAAATCGTAGTGGAAGGAGTTGTGGTAGTGGTAGGTGTGGTAGGAGTTGTGGTGGTGGTAGGTGTGGTAGTTCTTGTGGTAGGAGTTGTGGTGGTGATAGGTGTGGTAGTTTTTGTGGTAGGAGTTGTTCTTGTAGTTGTAGGAGTTGTGGTGATGATAGGTGTGGTAGATGTAGTGGTAGGAGTTGTAGTTGTGGTAGTTGTAGGAGTTGTAGTTGTAGGAGTTGTGGTGGTGGTAGGTGTGGTAGTGGTAGGTGTGGTGGTTGTAGTTGTGGGAGTTGTGGTAGTTGTAGGGGTGGTGGTGGTTGTGGTGGAAGGAGTTGTAGTGGTAGGAGCTTTGGTGGTTGTAGGAGTTGTAGTGGTAGTAGTTGTGGAAGTTGTGGTAGGCGTGGTGGTGAAGGTTGTTGATTGAGAGGTTTTCATGATGGTAGTCGTTGGTTTCGTTGATAGTGTTGCATTGTCTCCCTTAACTTTTTTCAAAATGGCTGTGAAACAAGCAAAACTTGATTCATATGAGGAAGTCCTTAAAAACGTAATCAATTCAAAGAGATTGGTATCGTATAAGATTAACATATATGTATATTAATTACCTTCACAAGCACCGGATAAAGCTTTACCCCGTATTGAATTTAAATTGCTGAAATCTTGCACCATTATAACGTAATCATGTTTGGATGCAATTCCTTGCAACTCATCTTCGTTCGCGTCGCCCGAAATACCAATAGCGTATACTGTAACATTCATGTCATGAAGTTTTTTTGCTTCCTTTATTGTTTGAGCTGGAATCATAGATTTTCCATCTGTCAACACAATAACTAAAGGCAGAGCATCGGGTCTTTTTCCTTTCTGCAAAGTCAGAACTTCAGTCCGTACGCTTTCTAAGGCTCTTTGAGTCATTGTTAAACCGGGATGCGAGTAGTTGATCTGCTTTATGCTCTCCATTAATTGTGTTTTATCGTGGTAAGTGTCCAGATAAAACTCTATTTTCACTGAAGTCGAAAAGGTTATAACTGCCACTTGGGTTGCAGTTATCCCAATGTTGAAATCTTCAACAAACTTTGCAACGAATTCATTTTGCAGAACAAAATTATCACTCCCTACACTGCCACTTTCATCCAAGACAAATATAAGATCTGTAGGTTTTGGAGTACAATCTGCCAAAATAAAATAGTGTAACTTACACTTGTGTAAAGTTACCATTTGTTGTTGTTGTTTTTTACTAGTATGGCTAAAGTATCCTCATATCCTCAAGGCTTTAGCCTTTTAATGAAATGCATTGAAAATACGTGTTTAAATATTTAGCGTTTCCTTCAGACAAAGTATATTATAAATTGCAAAACAATTTCATTGATTGTACTACTTATGAGTCTTTTAACGCACATATACCGGTATCTTCCTCTTCCCTAGTAATACTCATGACCTCTGTCCTCGAGGCAAGGTCATGAGAAACCTGAAGGTTATCAATTTACACCACACTCAAGTTTAACGTTATGATAATGACTTAGTGTTCAGTGATCTTGACCTTTGATATATGACGACGACAAGGCAAATTTGGATTTACTACTTGTAGTAATAAATGTGTTTTGCACAATTGTATTAAACTGTTTTTTTTTTTTTGAATATTTGATGGGATAAAAATAAAAAACACAACAACAAAATACAAGAATTTGTGATTTTAAGCTTTTAGAGTTACGAACATTTAATACTTTGATATTTTTTCACATAAACATTATTTTTATGTTATAAAAAACAAACACTTCATTATAATTATGATTAAAAAAGCAATTATCTAATGTAAGGGTTACCTTTTACTTGGGATGTCAAGGTTGTGATTGCCGAAGATATAAAGAAGATCAAGAACAAAGACACGTCGCACCACTACAAACCAAATAGAAAAGATTTTATGTAATATGCAACTAAGTTAGGTGATTTTCAAACATCAAATGTACCGGTAAATCGTGTTCAGAATGTTTTCTTTTATCATAATGAATCTATTTAAGAAAGGAGCTTATTGCACAAAGACTGCCTTAGCTTATATATATATTTTTCGAGTTTATCTCGTGGTTTATGACTTGACAATTTATCAGCCAATTTACAAAATGTTCCTTAAAACACAACATAATAAAGCAAAACTCCTTTGCCAATTTATTTAAACTTTACTTCTTTAAGCACTGCACCAGGGATTATTGAAATAATTAGATTGTAGTTTCACTAGAGGGGAACCTTTATTCTCTTCAGTACTGTTTAGTTAGTTTTTTACCCAGTTATGCTAGCAATCCCCAAAATACCAGTAAATTTAAAGAACACATTTATCAAATTCCTTCGTCGTCAATTTTTTTTTAAATCAGAACAAAACTTCCTGAGTGAAAGTTTAATAAAAGAATTGTATTTCAATAGAATTTTTAAAAACATTTCCAATAGAAATCGTCATATACATTGTAAATAGCAGTATTAATAAATATTAACAATAGATATTTGGCATTAATCATACAAACATCATACAAACGTATATTTCACTAGAATGAAATAAACACAGAATAATAGAAATAGTGGAATTTAAAAAAAAAATATTTGTAATCAAACGAAATGCATTTATTAAGGATATTGATAAATAAAAAAAGTTATTAGCTATTGTGATTTCAGTACTGTATGCACTTAAAACTCATAAATTTAAATACGGTAGTAATATAATCGCGAGGCTTGTCGAGCGAATTAATATACACCATTTCAACGAGCTGCATAAAAGAAATTTTAAATCACACGTTCTATTTTCGTTTGAACAAAACGTTGAGATAACCCTTGTGAAACCTTAAATGACGTCTATCCAAATCGATGACCCATAAAATTGATGACGTCGCACTGGACATGCCGAAAGAAAGATCATGTACAAAATATGAAATCTGAGAAATCTGCGTCTTTAAAAACATATTTGACAATCTGTTGGAGATTTATTTCATACAAACTTTTGACTGAAAGTTGTAAACATGAATTCTACACTGAAGTTATTCTTTGTAAGGCGACATTGCTCATCAGGGTGCTAGGCTACTTGTAGATTCGTGGTTAGTTAGTTATAAAGTATAATGTCAGAAAGCGTTGTTGAAAGTGGCTAGACTTCCCTGTATAGTCAAACAGCTGTCAAAGGAATCTAGCACCAACAACTTAACTGCTGGGCCTAAAATTTCTTATGAAAACGATATAAGAGGGGGAGGAGGGGGGGGGGGGGTAACATCGTCTTCGCAGTAGCCAGTACGGATACATTGATGAAATTTGAGATTTCACTGAGAGTCATTTTCTTGCTTTTAACGCACATTTTTGCTCATTATCATTCATTTCAGAACGCAAGAATTTTCACAAATCGAAGTTCCGATAAATTTGCATTTTAAAGCAAGGGATTATATATATATATATATATATATATATATAGAAAGCACAGAGAAATTCACTTTTATAAGGATACCCACTTCCGCCCCAGCCCGGGGTTGAACTCTCGACCTACGGAATCTGTCTCCTAGCAGTACAGGAACAGCGCGCTAGACCGCTCGGCTATCTAGGCAAGTTAAAAACTTGCTTTCGATGCCGATGGAATTCTCGCGGCGCTGTCCTATACTACACGGTCATTGAGAATGGAAGTGAGATACAGTTATTTGGACATTAGTTTTATTAGAGGATCGTTACCAATACATGTTGTAATGAAATTAATTTTTATTTATAAAGCACATTTTACAACAACTCTTAAACTAACATAACTGCCCTAAGTGAAGAAATATTAATATAGAAAGCTCTGTGCTTTCTATATTAATATTTCTTCAGTTCGAAACCAATGTACAATTCTTCGGTTCGAAACCAATGTACAAAGTACCAAGTTTGACGTCCGTCATTAAAGGGTTCTCAAGTTATTGAATAGACAATATCTTCCTTTGTAGTTTGAATCTTGACCTTTGACATCAAAATCAATTAGGGTCATTTGCTTTTTAGGGGATATAAGTGTAACAATTTTTATGTCTGTAGAGCAAGGGGTTCTCAGACCTGGTGGCCTTGGTAAACTGGCCAAGGCACTGTGCTTTCTATATTAATATTTCTTCACTTTCTATAAGCAGTTGCTAAGCAAAGGTTAACAGTTCCTCGAAAATTAAAATGTCCGGACAACATCTGCTTTTTGTTCATTTAAAGTTTGGTTGTTTTAAAATGTTTTATATCCTATATGACATGATTTCTCGGACAACAATACCAGAATGTTTGCCTCTCGGTAACAGGAAACCCTGGAGTGTTATGTCGCCCTCTGCCTTCGGCATTGGGCGACATAACACTCCAGGGCTTTCCTGTCACCTCAGGGCAAATATTTTGGTATGTTGCCTTCGAAATATCCGATTATTACTAAAATTTAACGGAGATGGTGATCTGTTAAAATGTCTTCCTGCTTTTTTGCGAGCTTCAAAATCTTCAAATTCATTGCATTTTTCTGTAAACCTGTTTTTTTTTTCAATTCTACTAGAATTTGTCGAGGGTCTAAAGGATTTACATGGAAATGTCGTGTTTGCACAAACTAATATCGAAACTTTTTCTTAATCATAGGATAGATTACATACTTAGTTTATGTTGTCCAAAGTACGGATGAGCTTTGAGAAAGACATCATAAAGAATATCATTTAAAAAAATGGAATTCTGTGAATTTATCATGAAACAGTTTATTTTTGAAGATGCTCTCACAAACTTTAACATTTATAATTTTTTACAAAAACACTTCAGTGTCAAATTTAGTGATAAATATTTCAGTGAAAGTTTATAAATATGAAAATTGACTTTGACATTTGTTAGAATTTTTTTTACTGTATATGAATGAATAAGGGCCATTTAAATTATGAACAACTAAAGTAAAAGAGACGGTAATCGTACTCAACTCTCTGTTTTTCTCCTATGACATTTTATCAAATAACTTTACGCTCCTGATAATTTAAGTGATTATACATTTGTCAATTTGAAATGAACTGTTCCTCTCAACATTATATTTTAAGTAGTTTATAATGATACTTGAGAAAAGAGAGCAAAAAGAATTTTGTTTATATTTGCTTTACATCTCTTGAGAAGAATATCAAGTTCCATCTTATTCTTATCATCGCTAGCGTCAAAAGTCGCAAGGTAAATATAGATAATTTTTGAAGTGGACATGATTTACTCAAATTATCAAATTCCTATTCTTGAAACGGATTTTCAGCGAACAGATATTATTTGCCTTAATGAAATTTAGCCGTCAATGGTGTCAAAAATGAATGGGAGAAGATAAATATCAAATGACATATCCAGCGTAAGTACCTCCATCTATCCAGGGTAAGCATGGAGATTGGACACTGTCCGACTAAGGGTACTGAAATAGACTTAAGAATTAACAACACAAAAGATATTGAAATAGCTAAAATCATTATGATTTCTTAATCTTTTCTCTCTTTGTGAATTATGTCCAGTCAGTGAAGACAACTCAAACTTTTCGCGAATTTCTCCTTTTGTGCATAATTAATTGTGAACGCCACTATCTCGCACGTGCTTTTCCTGCATTAATATCATCACTTCACTGTGATGAGTCCAAGATCTGTGTCTGATTTGGACATTTCAACAACATTTTGTGATGCTGACTCGATAGGAGTTGAAGTATTCAAGATTGGATGTAAACTACAAACAAGTGTTCATTAGTACGCTAATCAAAGTCAGCAATCGGGCTCCAATTCTAAAAACTAATGAAAAAAATTAAATTAAAATTTGTATTTCGAATATCTCTTTTATTTATTTACTTTTATTAAAGAAACATCAGTTTTAAAACGTCTGTGTATGATTTTCAAATTGAAACCTGTCCTTTAAAAACTATTTCAAAAGTTATATCAATTTGAAATTTTAACTGGGGTTTGTTCCGAATCTAATGTTTTGAGCGTAGATTTGTATGTCATTCTAAGGTATTTTTATCTCTCAGCATCAATATACCCTTGTTTTCAAAAAATGCTACCTTCTGTTTAAGAGAAGTATTGGTGACCTTTCATAAATTTGGATTGTAAAATTATAAATCTTCAGAAGTTTTTTAAATGTGTATGTTTCAAATTCTATCCAAGTTTCTTCCTTCTCTACACAAATAATACATTTTAGGCGCCTGCTTTACTTTACCCTTTTTAATGTTTTATACAAACATTGTTTGCATTTTCTTGCCAGATTTCTTATCTTTTATTTTAAAATATTTTTGATAATTAAAAACTAGAAAAATATCCTTAGTGCTTTCTCTGTTTCTTATCTTCTCTAATCTGACAATAATTTATTTAGAACTTGTTTATCTTTTGCTGCGATCTCCCTTTTTTGGAAAGTGTTGCTATTATTATTATATTTTTCTTTTTCTTAAACTTTTTTTAAAATTATTTTTCCGCAAGATAGCTAATAAAATAAATGTTACCTACCATACTGGTTCGTTTTCTTTATTCTAGAAGTTCAGTGACATTTCATTGCCTACCTGAAACACAAATTATTTGCTTTGCCCGATGTGGGGCATATTGATTAAGAATCGCAAACAAAAGTAGTCTTTATGATAAGCACAAGAGACTTCATAAATTGACAACACATCTTATAATATCTATATTCTATCGGTATGTGGAATTTTTAAATCAATTCATATGAAAAGTTTTTTTTTCTCTTTTTGGACTTCTTTTAAATATAGATATAGAAATAATGAATAGTATTTCTCGCTCATTCATCTTGCATTCGTTTTGTGCTATAAACCTTTTATGAAATATTGTTTCTTTATTCGACTGTCAAATTGTTGCAATAAAAATTTTAAATACTAATCTTTATAGATTTCTTACCTTTAAAATGTCTATCTGTGCAGTTAATGTGAAAATGTGAGATTAGCCAATAAGAAAATATGAAAAATTTCAAACAAAATTTAAACTCAATAATTCAGTCTAATTTAAACGGCAAAGTAGCAAAGAAATGGTCATGTTTTATATGGCAAAATCAATATCAATATGTCGGTAGGATTACCTCAACTGTAAGTCACAATTAATTAATAATTCGAGTCCGTGTTCAATTTTAAATGCAACCCACCCCCCACCCCCCCAAAAAAAGAAAAGGAAAGGAAAAAAAAAACAAACAAACAAAACAAAAAGCTTAAGCTGAGTTAAAATTCTTAAATAAAATATTTTTTTTAAAAAGTGAAAAGTTGTTTTGGTAAAATTGTAGCGGCTTCTTTCTTATTATCCTGATAAAGAAATTGTTAACAAATTCTATTTTGTAACGCGGATGTCAAGTGCAAAAGACTGCTTCAGGTACAAAGATTTTACAAATAGTTCAAACTAAAGGCGTCCATGATCATTTTGAAAAAGTTTTCTAAGCAGATTTACACAAATGAAAACTCTAAGGGTCTGGAGTCGCCCACTTGGCACAGTGGTAAGAGCTTGAATCCACTGCGGGGCGTGGAGACAGGTCCTTCGGATGAGACCGTACATGTATAAACTGAGGTTCCGTGTCGCAGCGGTGTTGGCACGAAAAAGATCCCTCACTGCTTAATGACCCTCAGTGCCAAGTATAGGTATAAATTTGCAGCCTTTCACCGGCAAGTAGTGGCATGTCCATATGAATGAAAAATTCTCGAGAGGGACGTTAAACAACAAACAAATGGTCTTGACCGTTCAGCTCTTCTGAACCTTGTTTGTTTCTTTCGGAGAATACAAAAAGGAACAATGCATACAGGGACATTTCTATATGCCGTTTGTCGGTAAAGTTTTGTTGCCAAGAGTATTTTACGATTCATTGTGCTTCATGTAGCTATTATGGATAGAAGATTGGGTTTAACCTGTATTATACGTCAGTTTTTGGTATAAACACTCGTTTTGAATATCCAAATATTTATATATTGAAAAGTAATGACCATTTTTTGTAATTTTTTGCTAATTTTGACAATTTGATGTGATTGCAATTGTGATTATTAAAAATTAATATTACATTGCTTGCATTCTCGAGAAATACCATAAATGGAAAAAGGGAAGAAAGATATATAAACATAGAAACTAAATCACTATTTATAATGTTGAATTCTGCATTCTTCCAAAAGTGATTCAGATTTTCAAAACTAAACTTTAGAAATAATGAGGTGTCCCAATCGTTGCCTTTACTAAAGTGCAAGCACTTAAATTTGCGTCAAAACGGAACTTAATCTTGGTTAAAATGGATTTAAAAAACATCTTGCTAATACACCGAGTACAGTAGTGGATCAATTTAGATCTTTTGGTTTACTTGAGATAACATTAGGTCACTAAAATTCTCTCTCGACAAACCCTACATATCGATGTGCCTAACAACGTGATCATCTTCGAAAAATCTTCGGTTGGTTTTCTCTATATGAAAAATAAGAAATAAAACACTGATGAAAAAAATTATCAGATATAGGGTTTTCAAAATTTTAATATTCCTTTTTTGGAATTTGAATTGGACATACTCTGACAGGTTTATTGATAGCGATATTTAGTATTTCGCATATCCAGTGTTTCTTTTTAATAAATACTTGAATTGATATAAATAGCAACCAAACAAAACTAAAACTGAAAAAAATGCGAATTTAAAAACTGTATCACTCCGATATACATGCAGTACCTACATAAATTTATTTTAATTGTCAAAATACAGTCATTCAATTCCAAACTCTAGAAAGTAGTGTCGTGTAAAAGGTTAACTTAGGTTAATAAGTTAATTCTTTGAATTTCTTTTCTTTCAGATGACACCGTTTTTCAAGGTTTTGAAAATCAAATAGGCCAAAGACTGAAATATTGCATTAATATCAATATGCATTATTTTATACCTAGCTACCACAGGAATTTATATTTTGAGGATCAATTAAGAAAGTCAAATTGTTTACCTTTGTAAAAGTTGCTATTCAGAAAAAATGAAATTGTCACGAACACGGCGAGGGGGGATTGCCTTTTTATATAAATGTAGACAAATGGATAAATATTCATAATGGAGGTCCATTTTCTGATGAATTTCAACGATTGTGAGTCCTAACTTTAGGACATCTTGTTGTTTCTGTGATTGAGGTTTACTTTCTGAGATCATGTGTCCTGGATTAGGGACATCGTGTTTTTTTTTCTTATAATTTTAAAAACATTTCCAACAGACTTAAAGACACAAGTGAAGAAAACAGTACGAAACTTGTTCACTAATGATCTTGCATAGTAAGAGTGTTTTTCACTTGTTTTAGAATGATGTATCAAAAGAGCTAGACTTCAGATATACGTACATGTAATGATGCAATTATTGTTTTATAGGA